TCCCAAAACAGAGCCAAGTATGGAATTATACATAAATTCCTTAAAAATTTTTAATTTATTTTAAAGCTAGCCTACATCATTTACAACATTGATCAAATGCTTGCCCATTTTCACTTAATCAGCCTCTGAATGTTGTGATGGGTAGTACCTTAGTTAGTATTGGTGTTCATAAGATCGATGCACTGCAGTCACATTGTCCGTCAACCTACCAGAAGTATTATTCTTCCTTAAATGGGCATGGAATCATAGGTTATGCAAAAAAAAAATCAATCACCCAGGAGATGACAGAGAACTAGTTGCATTGCTCATCATCCTTCCATGTGGAAGGTGATCTCGGGATTCAAGTAAAGTAACCTATTAAATCTCTATGCTATATAGTCTTTTAACCAAAAAAATAACCCAATTATGCAGGAAATGGGATTCAAGGGTAATCTTGGGATTCAAGTGAAGTAACCCATTAAATCTCTATGGTATAGTCTTCTAACCCAAAAAGTAATGTACACTTCCTCTGCCTGTGTTAGAGTTCTTAGAGTATAATTAACCCTTGTTCTTCCTGCCATATTCCCATCTCAAATTGATTAAGAATGTAATTTCGCATATCCTTATAAAGATTCAAATTGTTCATTATTAGTAATCTAAATCTAAGCCTTTGAAAGCCAGTGTCTTAAGGTTAAAAACTTATTGGACAAGTAGCGTTTAGGCTTGAGACATTAGAAACGGTACTGGAATATGTAGTAGTCCAACGACTCTGCAATGTTGACATCTTGATCATTGTGGAATATTATCAATGTCTGTATTGTGGTTGATAATGTATCATTGACAGAAACCCTTAACAACCTGAATTCAAGTTTAAGGCCCAGCTCGAAAAGTTATTTCTTCCATTCCAGTAGTATTCAGGCCTAGAAGTGTTTCGCCGCTCATACTTAAGAAATTTCAAGGATATAATAACTTCTTATCTTTTACCGAAGAGGTATTTTAGTATGCATGTTGGTAGAGAAATCCATTTTTGTTATTCTTTCCTCTAAATCGATCTACTTTTCCCAGGTTCAAAAGAAAAAAGTTTGGGAATTGGTGCAGCCGCATCTTAAAACAGATGCTTCTTGCATTGCTACGCTTGGGGAGCATTTGATGCGGACACCTGCCGGTGCGGTGAGTTGCAAATCTCTAAAGCATGCAAAAATATCTTGATTGCTTATTTCTATGACTTGTTGGTAACTATTTTCTTGTCATGGAAAAGTGCTTTCACTCAAATTTTCAAGTTAACAGTCTGCAAATTTATTCACAAGGCTGTTTCAAGCATTAATTCTTTAGATATAAAGATTAAGATGCTTCTTGTATTTTTCAGTCGTTCCATTGGTATCCTCTGTTATTCTACCCGGTAAATTGACTCGTGACTGAGGTTTTAAAATGGTCTACTTTGCTATTTGTATATTAGTAGGTATTTTTATGTCAGTATGGATCAAGTATATATTAACTAGTATAAATAAAATGGTAGTCAAGATTTAAATTAATAAATAAATAAATAATTAATTAATTATTTTTTTCAAAAACTTAAACTGATGTAAGATAGTTGAATATATTATTTTAAATTAATAACAGAAACAAAAGGGGTAAATATTTGTTTAAAATAATACAAATTAATTTTCTAAAAAATTTCGAATGTAATTAATTTATCTATGATGTCAATTTATTATTCCATGATAAATTTGCATAATTTTATAGTTAAAATAAATATATATTTCTCAATAAATTCTCCAAACATAATGCTTTAATTCCAAAACATGTGTTGGTAATAATTTTTGGTAAATTCATTTTATTTTCCAAAATTTACACAATGATTATAAATAATAATTAAAGCACTTCCAAAATTATAAATGATGATAACAAAGATTAATTTAACACCACAATAACTTCTTCAAAAAGCCACAACAGAGTTTTTAAAATGTTACAACTTTATTTCAAATAATTTACTTGTGCTTATTGAAATAAATTTACTTTCAATCAAAGTCACCTTTTAACTTTTATGCAATAATTCAAATTATTTATAATAATAATATTTTAAAAAGAACCTTCTAAACTATGAATAAAAACTAAATTATGAACAATTGTTTCATAAAAATTCTGCTCAAGTTAAACACTAACTTTGATAAACACAATTTTTATTCTCTGTAATATCCAATCTCAGAATTTAGTTTAGAATCAATTTTAACATTCTAAAATGTATAAAAATTTATTTTTAAAATTAATTTATTTTATTTGATTGTGGAATTATAAAAAATAAATAAATTATGGATGAAATTGAAAATAATTTTGATAAAAAAAAGTAGAAATTTGGGTTATGAAGATGTTTTTGAAAGAAAAATTAGAACAGAGAAATCAGAGTGCAAATAAAAAAAATTTGGCTGCGTATAACTGTCTAATCAGTAACATCGAATCAGAGCGTACTGCGTGGCAAGGCACGCTAACTTGGTGCCATGCGGGAGGCCACGTTGGCGATCCGCGTGTTCCCCGATCGGACGATCCAGGAGTGTTCCTGCGTGTGTGGACAGTTCGGATCCATTTCTTCCTTAAGCGCGATCGGACAGTCAAGATCAAACGCGATGAACGGTTCAGATTCGTTTCTTCTTAGGCGTGATTGGACGAGCGAGATCAATCGCAATGGATGATCCAAATTAACGCGATATTAGTATAAATATTTCGCATCACACTAAACCTGAATCCTAACCGCCAGCCTCCAGCCGCACCGGAGACACCTTCAACCACCAAAAAAAGTAAAAATTATCCTACCCGCTCGAAATTCAATTTCGAGTGCCTCTGTGACCATATCAGAGCAAATCAAATAGCGGATGAGCCGAAACTGCAAGCAAAATCAGGTGATGCTACCACGAAAAAAACCTGCAACCTCCTCTGATGAGATCTTTCTCATTTTCCGTTTCGTACGATTTTTTTATTGTTGTATTCATCGTTCTGTTTTTTGCAGGCTGATCGAATAAGGAATCCCAACCGTGAAAGTGAGCTGCGGAGCCACTGCACCCTGAAACCCCACCACCAGTAGGTTTCCATTTTTTTATTTTTTCAGCCAACAGAAATCTCATAACGTGTTTTTTTCCAAAAATACGTATAAATCAGCTGAGACCGGCCAAAACCAGTCAAAATCGCCAAAATTGGGTAGTGGTGGCATCGTTGGAGTATGACAGTGTCGCCATGCCGGAATCCCAAAATTGACCAGAAAGAATTTTTAATGTCGATTTTAGATTTTTGGAGTATTTTTAAGTACGCGAAGCATGTTTAATATATGCAGAAAAATTCAGAAAACCCGAGGACCGCCAATAGGCACAGTAGAACATTCGGTATTTCGTACACCAATTCGGTTAAGAATCCATCACCCTATTCTCTGTTATAAAAGTGAAGCTTAATAATCAATAATATGGTATTTTATTAAATTTAGAAAATTTTGAGAATAATTACAGGTCACTAATGGAATTGGAACCGGTTAGTTATTTATTTATCATGTTTAACTGATTATTTAATTTTACAACTTTAAATACATGATAATATATTGGAATAGTTAAATGATTCAGTTGTGATTTCTTAATACATATATCGCTTGTCTTGTGTAATTTACGGTTGATTTGTGAAATATAAAATTAATAAGCAAATAAAAAATTGTTTGATTATGTAAATTAATAAATGATTGTTTTACTGTATATTCTAAAAGATAGTGGGCGGACCGAGTACATAAGAAACCCTACTATGAACGTTAACTCATATCGGATGGGATATAGAGACGACCCGATTCACTTTCATACCGGGTGAGATATCGAAGAATGATATTTTTGACGCTTATACCGGACAGAATATGGAAACAACTGGTTAGTTGACAAGTTTAGATATTGAGTTCACGCATAGTGATACATCCCTATGGACCCACAGAAATATTAGTACGCAAATAAAAAGAAAAGTTGTTATTCTTATTTGAATATGAGATCATAATATCATTTAAATTATTGTCTCTATAGGTCGATTTTGAAAAATCTCGTAACAATAAATATGCAATAAATAATTTTTTTTTATGATAAATAAACTTATTTAAATTAAGAACTCCATTAATCGTCTTATTATTTCTACCAACTTTCAATTTTTGTATCGGTAAGTAATGTAATATTCTTATTGAGTTACTATAACTCACTCCCTTCCCTATTACTCACTTAAGATCAAGAAAGTCAAGATTTAGATAGTTAAAGTTAACTTCCCTACAATATTTATTTACTATTTTTATATGTTATTTCGTTTTTTTTATGAAATGCTGTGAAAAGCACATTTATGTAACTTTATTAGGCATACTAATTTATGTGCAAGAAATGTAAACTCAAACTCTATTATTCCGCTTCCGCATCTAATTTATAATTTTATTTTTATTTAAATTTCAGGCTTTTACATTCTTAATAAAAAAAATTTATTACTTTTACCATGAATTATTTTACAACTAAAAATACCAACCGCATCCATAAACAATATAAATGGCTGCGAAGGTTCATGCGGTATTAGTGCGTGTAGACCACAAACTAAAGAGAAACAATTGGTAGGTAAGACTACAGATTGATTTCCCAGCCTGCCTAAAAGCATGTTATCATCCAAACATAATTCCCACCACTCAGCAAGGGATGCATCAAAATCCCAAGCAACATGTTATTGAAAATCAATAAGATTTATATAAATCAATACAACAAAAGATCATAAAGCTACATTTAAATTTGGGGAAGCACCATTTTTTTCCTTTAAAATGGTTTTTACTGAATGATTTGAGATCAGATTAAAAACCGAGTAATGCTGAAATTAGAGATCTGCGAACACACCAAATATATCGCCGTTGATGTAGTCATTGTCTACCAAGCTCACCAAATAGTAGCTCTTTTGTACCTGCAAAAATAAAATGGATATCCATGATATTACAATTGCTGGGATCTACTTGGCATTAAGTGCCAAAAGAGGCAATCAAAGGTGATGCATGGGAAGAATCTACTGAACAAGATACAACAGATGAAGCATCCAGGAAGAGAACAAACCTCTTCGAGCAACTTTCTAGACGAATCACCCTCGGGGTACAAGTTACCCCATGCCCTTGACCAAATTTCAAATGCTTCATCCTTCCAGACCACGAAGCTAGCAGGATCAACAACTGTTGGCTGGATGATTTCTTTTGCAGGGAAAACTCCCCAAGTTACCGCATTTATATCGGTTTTGTTGATGTTGGACATCCAACACCCTTCTTTGTTTATAGCCATGTAAGTTATACTTGGAAAAGACTTGCATTTATTAACAAGAGCATTCAATTTGTCCATCGAGCAGAAGAACTCCAGATAAGCCTTCTGATAAACATAACCTCCAGGGCCACCCCAACCTGCAGACATATCAAGAGAATACAGGAACGATAAGTACTACATATGGTTTTTAAGAGAAAAATTCCACAGAATAATTGAGCACCAAAAACTACAAAGATATAGGAAGGAACAACATCCCTCTTATCCTTAGTGAATTAACGCCCTATGAAGCCCATAAGAGACAAGGCACTGGGTTTCATTACTCATGGATGAGAAGGAAACCAAGCCATTTATAAAGTTTTGCTTAAAGAAAAGACTTCAAAGAACGTGGGTCCAGGTTATTCTGGCACATGTGCATGTTGGAAGCGGAAGCAAAGGATAATATTAAATAGC